GCAAGTTACAGAAGAGGAAACGTAAAAGAAAAAATAAGTATAAGAGACACATATGAAATATATATTTGAGATATGTGTGTATATTATATATATATATATAAAATAGAATGCTCACTGTTACTAGTACTATAGTCCCCCCTTATCTGTGGGGGATACGTTCCAAGACTAGCCCTAGTGATGCCTGGAATGATGCCTGGAACTATGGGTAGTACTGAACCACATATATACTATGTTTTTTCCTGTACATATACACATTTGAAAAGAAAGAAACTACAATGGCATTTATTATAGCATTATTCTATTGACCACAACATTGGAAATAGCCTAATTTTCTACAAGGGATACATAAGTATTATATTTTTTAAATGGAATATTATACCACATTTAAAATAATTACGAAAGGTTACGTCAGTTGACATGGTTAAATTTCTATAAACTAATGTGAACGGAAAAAGCAGAGATACATTGTTGTAAATTTAAAACCGACAGTTTTGGATACATTGATATGAAAATATAATGGCAAATCCAGGACAGAGAGTCAGCTCCATTTTTGTCACTGAAATTATAAAATTATCTTAAAATAAACTCTGAATCCTTTTCTAGGAAAAAGTTCAATGTATTTCTGACCTATGTTTTCTTTTCCATTTGCAAAATAAATCTTGGATTTCAAAGAAAGCGAAGATGCTATGACAAACTCTCTCTCTAGCAATTTATTATTTCATTGGCTCACTGCCTTGACAATTAGGAGAAGATTTATAGACATATCCCCTGAATAATTGGCAATTAATTTGAGATTAGATGCCAAAAAGTACAGTATTCTTAATGTAATGGGAAGGTTGAGGCTTTTCGCTTACAAATGTCACAGAACACAGAGTAAATGTTAACCACCAGCATCGTTAACCCTGCCCTTTTGCACATCTGCAGTTTTAGTTCGATGATCATAAACTTCAGCTAGCTTGGCTAGTTTCACGGTAAAGCTCAAGTGTACACCAAGAGTGTCTATATGTCTTAAGAATGCCTTCCAATCTATAAGCCCTTGGTTTATCTTGATAGGTACCTGCTGGTGATCCATAGGAATGTGTAAACCTGGGACGCCTGGGTGGCTCAGTCAGTTAAGAGTCTGCTTTCAGCTCAGGTCGTGATCCCAGGGTCCTGGGATCGAGAGCCCCATGTTGGGCTCCTTGCTCAGGCGGGAGCCTGCTTCTCCCTCTCCCTCTGTCTGCAGCTCCCCCTGCTTGTGCTCTCTCTCTCTCTGTCAAATAAATAAATAAAATCTTAAAAAAAAAAAAAAAGAATGTGTAAACCTGCGTTCTATATAGGAAAAAGAGATACTGTATCCTGAATCTTCTTTGGGATTTTCTTTTGACTCAAACAGTACAGTTGGATCCCATAACATCTTTTCTACTCATGGCTCAGTGTCTTTCTAATGTCTACAGGTGTGGTCTCCTAAGGGGTATATAAACTCTAGGTCCTAAACAATGAAGATTTTGCTGGTAAACATTGTTATCCTTTTGGTCAAATTCCAGGGTACCTTATACCTAGAGATAGAGTTGACAGGTGTGGCTATTAAGTATCAGTGATTTACCAGTTGGTTTCATTTCAACTCCAGCACAGTGCCAAAAATATATTAAGGATGCACTAAATGCTAACCAATTTATATATGTCCAGACAATTTTAGAACAAGTAGAGCATTTTTTTTAAGATTTTATTTATTTATTTGATAGAGTGAGCTAGCAAGAGAGCAGAAGCAGGGCGAGCCGCAGGGGGAGGAGTAGAGGGAGAGGGGGAAGCAGACTCCCCACTGAGCAGGGAGCCAGACCTGGGGACCCCAGGATCATGTCCTGAGCCAAAGGTGGACACTTAACTGACTGAGCCACCCAGGTGCCCCACAAGTAGAATTTTATTCCTTTCCAGAAACCCTAGAAATATCCTTTAATCCAAATTTCCCTATGCCCGTATTTTGTTTATAGCTATTTCTAAGTAATAGACTGGGTTTTATGTTTATGTGCATTTTAAAAAAGAGTAACAGCCCATCTTTGAACTAACCTCAGCTCTTTCCCTCTCACCTCAACAGTTGTCCCCTCTGCATTGTCATGACAATTCCCATCTTTCATTGGGTGCTTTCTCTGTGCCAGGCACCTCATTTAATCCTCTTGACAATTTTGTAGCAGAGTTACTGTGTTTGCAGTGCTCTATTTTTGCAGATAAGGTTCAGAGATTAAGCAACATGCTTGGGTTCTTCAGCTAATAAATAGTGGAGTCAGGCTTTAAACCCAAAGCCTTGGTCTGAACTACCAAGATTTACTCTATTTTTCTTTCTGTTCATCTCTCCAAGGGGAATTTGAGAATTAAGCATTTAGAACAGTGCCTATCACATAGTCATTCAGTAATTATGTGTATATTCTTAAACCTTTGAAATCAATTTTATAAGTGTAATATACATACTATAAATTGCATACCCATACACACAGTTCCATAAGTTTTGATAAATGTATAAACCCCTATTGTCACTGTCACAATTAAGATTTTCTATATTGGCATCCACTTCACAAACTTCCCTTGTGCTCCCCTTTTTAAGAAATGTTTTATGTTAAAATCATTTTAGACTCTCAAGAAGGTGTAAAAAATAGTACAAAGATCCCCTGTACCCTTCACCCAGTTTCCCCTCAATGATAACCCATTACATAAGTATAGTACAATTGCAAAGCCAGAAAATTGACATGGGTACTCACCATAGATCTTATTCCCTTGTGCACCTTGCAGTTAGTCTCTGCCTAATCCCAGCCCCAGGTAACCATGGAACTGCTATTTCTCACTATAGTTTAGATTGTTCTAAAACTCTCTATATAAATGGAATCATACAGAATGTTGCCTTTTGTGTCTAGCTTCTTTTGCTCAGCATTATGTGTTTTAGATGCATAAATATTACTGTATGTATTAGTAGTTTGTTCCCGTTAATTGTTGTGTTGCATCCTATTTGAATATAGTAGTTTGCTTACCCATTTATCTGTTGACAGACATTTGGGTTATTCCCAAGTTTGGACTATTATATAGTGAATAAAGTTCCTGTGAAGATTCATCTACAGGTTTGTGTGTGTGTATGCACTTATTTTCATTTCTCTTGCATAAATAAGAGTGGAAATGCTGGGTCATTTGGTTAGTGAAGGTTTAACTTTATAAGATACTGCCAAATTCTTTTCCCAAGAGAATGAACCATTTTATATGCCCACTGACAGTGTGTAAGAGTTCCTTTTGTTCTACAGTCTTGCTAACACTTGATACTGGCAGTCTTTTAAATTTTGGCCATTCTAGTAGGTATGTAGTGGGATCTCACTGTGGCTTTCATTTGCCTTTCTCCGATAATTAATGATATTGACTATCTTTTTATACGGTTAGTGGCCAATCATATTCTTTTGTAAATTATTCAAACCTTATGCCCCTTTGCGGGGTGTCGTGAGTGGATAGGTGAATGTTTGTCTTTTTTATTCAACAAATATTTGGTGAGTAATTGAATATTTATTAAATGACCTAAGCTTGACTCAAATATATCTGTTTTCCTTGTGATTAATTGAAACCTGAGGTATAATACATCTCAAATAAAATAGTTCAAATTGGGTTTTATTAGTCTATTCTAAAATGATCATCTAATAGGGAATCTTGTTTTGAACATAATGTTAAAATAAGGATCAGTTGTTTCCTGCCCTGCATGGGACATATCATCATCTTAACCATCACTGTCATCCTCATGATTTATTCTTTTTGACCATAGGGAAGTTATCATCCAAAGACATGAATTCTGTGCCTCACATAGATACTGCATTGCTACTTTGTTTCTCTAAGGCTAGAAATGCTCTTACCTAATTTTTTTCTTGTCTAAAAATGGAAGGACGATTTTAGTCTTGTTATTTTTAGCTGTCACTGAACCATCTTTCTCCATTAAGAATAAATGTTAGCTAAGTTGATCTGTAAGCTCTGTGTTGATACTGTAGACTATAATTTGTGTTTGTGATTTAAAAGAACATTTGGTTACCTTCTCCTATGACATATTTTTGTAACAATATTTTTAGCTATTGTTTTGTTTTGTTAATGTAGAGAATTACAAAGAAATACACAGACCCACCCAGGTAACTATTGCTTATACAGTAGTTAATGAAAGAATGGTATGTATCTAGTGTTTGGAAATCAACACAGGATCATAAGATCTATATATCTGTATGTGTCTATAGGAAGAAGAGCAACATCTTCTCCCTTATTTCCCAAGCTCATGTCCTTCTGCCCAAAGGAAACTGTTGTTAAAACTTTGTGGTGATTCCTTATAGCAAACAGGATCTCTCTTCTTTATTTCTTTTTACACAAAAGGAATCAGACACGATGCACTCACTACTCTACATATTTTCCTTTGACACCAACACCTGCAGATCTAGCTTTCTTGGAGTAGTTACTATATGAATGAACTGTGTTTTACTTAGCTGATCCCTTGTGGTTTTTTTCCAGGTTTTTTGTTTTTCTTTTTATTTATTTGCTCTTACAAAAATGCTGCAATAAACAATACTGGAGATGGTGCAGGCTTTTGCAAGTATATTCATAGGGTACATTTCTACCAATTGGATCCCTGGTCAAAGAACATTGTATAATTTGTCAGCTATTGCTACATTGTTCTCTTTATGGTTTCAGCCATTTACTCTCTCTTTAATAGTGTCTGCAAGTGTCTATGGCACATATTTTAAATGTAATAGCATAGTTTAAATTCTTTGTTATTTGAGCCTTCTAGTATTATGTGAAATGGGACCCCCAAATTAATGCTATTTCAATGCTGTTTTATTACATTCTAGCTTGCTTTTTCCTCTGCAGAAGAAAATCTGAAGTCATTCCTCCTAATGACTGAGGTTGGCGGGCTACAGTGGCTTGAGGTAGCATTTCCACACACAACTCTCCAGCTGCTCAGTCTCTAGGAAGGCCTGTTGTTGATGTGTTCTGTCTATTTTGTATATTACCTACAGGAGGAAAGCTGAACAAGGACCTGCGACATTTCCTCAATCAGCGGTTCCAGAAAGGGTCTCCTGATCATGAGCTCCAGCAGACCATAAGGGATAACCTTTATCGCCATGCTGTGCCTTGTAAGTAGCTAGTTTAGGGCAACTTACTGCTGGGTGGGTGTGTGGAAAGTTGGTGGAGCCAGAAGAGCTCACCAGGTGGTTCTGGAACACTGGTCAGTCGGCTTGCTCGCGTAGTGACTCCCTAAGTCCGGGGAATCATAAGTGACTGTGGGACGTAGAGCATCGCGAAAGGTGAATTACTTGGCTTTCAGGTTCTGGCTCTGCCACGTACTTGCTTATAATGCCAGGTAAATTAGTTGTCCTTTGTTGGGGCCAGTTTTCACATCCATGGAAAGGACATCTGAGTCATACTAATTCAATAGGACTATTAGGAAGAGTCCAGGGGATGAGGCACGTAAGTACATTTTGCAAAGTACGGGCATGGTGTAAGCCTCCATAAATGTTAACCATCATTGTTATTAATGGGGCGGACCAGGCCAGAGGCTTTCAGATTGATCTCTGCAGAGATCAGTAAGTTCCTCATGGCCCCTCAGCACAGAGAATGCCTCAGTGGACTCTCATTTTCCCCAACATGACCCGATTCATAGATCTGCATTTCATGCATAATTTTCTTTGAAGAAATAGTTTCCACCAATTAAAAACTCAAATCCCACAAACCCGTTAGATCAGACCAAATCTGAGAAAGCAAGACGTGGAATATAGGGGCCATGAAAGCAAGGTTTTTGTATTGAGGGGAGGAAGGAAGGAAAGGAAGGAAGAGGAGGAAGTGGGGGAAGTCAGTCTATGCGGCAGATGAAGTTGTAGTGAACTCTTACCATGTTCTACCATACTGCATTCCTATACAGCCAATTATAAGGTAGGCGTCCTGGGGAGACTTAGAGTGATTTCATTTTATTTAAAATTAAGAAGAAAGAATGATTTTGGTTTTAGTACTTGAAATTTTTCTCTTCTATTGTTACCCAGTCCTTCAAAGCTTGAAATTTTATTTTTTTAGCAATAACATTTTTTAACCAACAAAAGCAGTAGGAATCATTTGAAGTTGAAGGTACCCTGCTTATTGCTGTGATTTGTTTGCTATAATGGTTTTTCTTTTCTTCTTTCTTTCTTTCTTTCTTTCCTTTTTTTCTTAATAGTATTTTTCGAGGGGTGTGCTGGAGTCCTAATGTTTCCTGGCATTACAGCAAAATGATAAACAGAGCTTAATGTAAGCCACCATAGATCTGCAGGGACTTAGGCCATTAGTCTAGACTGGGACTTTTAAAGATCAGGTTCTAGAACAGCCCCCTGCTCTTCATTTTACTTATTAATAAAACCAAGCCTCCGAGACGAAAAGAGGTTGAGTGTAAGGAACTTGGGTCAGTGCCCCAGGGTTGTCTCTTTCTGCTGAGTGGCAGAGCTACATTTGAAAGAGAAAATGTGGTGATAATGCATTAATCCGAATCTCTGGGCCTCAGTTCTTTTAGTCTTTCAGCATTGGAATTGAACGCTGTAACCTTATATCCTACTAATAATTCTTTGCAATTATATTAGTAGTAATTCCTAATGTTAATCGCATGGGTTGTGAAGGGATTATCATTCTTTTTATGGATCAAGAAACCAAGACACCAAGGTAAGCCAATAAAAAACAAGGCTGAAGTTGACCAGGACTTGCGGTCTCCTGAGTCCACCATTGTCCTGACTCTGCTCTGCTGACCAGTTTTACCCTCGGAATGACTCTTTGATGTTGGGATTTTTACTACCCAGTTTACAGATGAGGAAACAGAGTCATGGGGAGATCAGGTCACTGATAAGTGTCTGATTGGGTCTTCTGGACTCTCACCACCCAGGGCTGCCTTATAGCTGCTCTGATGTTCTGGGATGGCAGGCTGAATACCGTTTTGCAGAATTCGGTACTTGCAGAATCATGAGTGTTCTCTGTGTAATTTTTCCCCTACTTAGATTCCAATTTAAGAAATGGGAAATGAAGCAAATGAGCACACCATTTCTTGACGCATCTGTGGTGTTACTATGGTTACGTTTTGGCATGCTTTCCCATTTATTTTTTTCCACTGAATTATAGGACCTGACTGTGAGCTAAATGGCTTGATTTTAAGCTTACCACTCTATAGGAATTTGGGGCAAAGATGACCTCAGCCTTTTAAAAACAGTGGAAAATCGTGTTTTGTCTTTGCGTGTATAAAGCCCTTGGTATTAATGTTTCATTTCTACGAAACCCATGAGTCAGGAATTGGGAAGGTCGAAATGGTCTTTCTACTAAAAGAGAAAACAAGTACCATGTCATTTTACATTTCCTTCATAAAATGGGAAGGAAATTCAGAAGAGGTCTGTTTCTAGGTCTGGTGCAGCGTGTGTACCTTTGAACATGAGTAGACCAGGGTGACTTGGGATTCTGTTATAGGCTTGGAGAACTCAAGCCACATTTGTGTTTATTTTGATTCTTTGGTCCATGTGATTGGTAAAGCAGAACTCTCTAACAACCTGTTGTGCCAACGGATTAGGAAGCCATTCATTTGGAGAATACATCCTCCTGATTATATTGTAACAGTGCCACAGGGAAACAAGCTCATGTGACCTGCATTTTCCAGAACTTCCTGCTGCTGATATTTTAGTGACTTTCAGTATTTTGAGAAGGGATGACCTCATGAACAGGTGCTTGCGAGTTGGGGTAGACATCTTTTCTTTTTTCTCTCTCTTTAAATATTTTATTTATTTGACAGAGAGAGAGAGAGGCAGGCAGAGGGAGAGGGAGAAGCAGGCTCCCTGCTGAGCAGGGAGCTGGATGCGGGGCTTGATCCTAGGACCCCGGGGCTTGGTCCCAGGACGTCAGGATCATGACCTGAGCCAAAGGCAGACGCTTATCCGACTGAGCCACCCAGGTGCTCCTGGGTAGATGTCTTTTCTTATACATTTTAGGAGGTTCACTTGTCAACTAGAAATTAATAAATAAAGCCCCTTGGTTCTCAAGTTCTTTTTAGTGTCATGATAGCACCACGATGGTTTTATCATTTAAGGCCCCATTTTATCCTAATTCCTTGGCAAAGACAGTGCAGGTAATAGGATCCCTATTTTACAGGTAAGGAAATGGAGCAGCAAATGTGACTTCCTGAAAATCCTACCACTCCTAAATGCCACATTACTCACTTCTCACCCAGTGCTATTTTAATTTTTCTTATTTTTAACAGCTTTATTGAGATACGATTCACAAACCATACAATCCACCCATTTAGTGTTCATCCAGTGCTATTTTTGCTACAGTTCTCATCATGCTGCACTCCCCCTTTATTTTGTCTTTATTCAAAAACTTTTATTATTTCCACAGTATGAAAAAGGTCATCATCGTTGAAATTTAATTATATTTACCATTGAAAATCACCACCAAAAAAAAAAAAAAGAAAAAAGAAATTAAAACACCCAAACCAGAATTATGACAGAAAAGAGAACTGGATGGTGGAGTGAGTCAGAAGCCCTGGTGTGAAGTCTGAGGGCTTTTCTCTTGCTGTGTGGTCTGCTGCACATCATGTAACCTCTCTGAATCTTATTTACTCTTTTAATATAAAATGGAAATAGAAACACCCACTTCACACATTGTCTCACCAAATGTCAACAGCATCCCTAAGAGATGGGCCTATTAGAGGAAACGGAGGCTCAGAGAGGTTAATAACTCGCCGAGGGTCACGGGGGTCACACAGGTTCACAAGTAACATGGTCAGGGTTAACCAGTTCTGACTCCCGTGCCGGGCATCTTTAATAGTGGTGTGAATAGAGCAGTATAACATGGGCCATTGAGATGAGAAGAAGCAGAAAAAAAGTTACTCATTGCTGAATTTTATAGTTTTAGCTATGTAAAATCATGGGGTTTTATGGCAGTGGGGTCTAGTAATTCACTGATAGGTGCAATAGAATTTTCATAGTTCTTTAATGGTGATCCAGCTTTTAAGAAATCATTACAGGATTCTCGTGGGATATCTTGGTTTATCTTATTGCTCATTGAATCTCTTCTTTTTTTTTTTTTAAGATTTTATCTATTTAATATACCTGTGGAAAACCACCTTTAAATAAATGGGTTTGAAATCCAGGTAAACGTCATCTGCATTGCTCACTTCTCTCATTCCTTAGAACCATCTGGATGATAGTCTTGTCTCTGCCCCTCAGATTCCCCTACATGGCCAGCCCCCCTTCGGTGCATCAGTCATGCAAACGTTATCCATAACCCCAAACACACCTGGTGCCTTCTCATGAGTGGGTGCATACTATTTTCCTTCTCTTTCCCTACCTTGCCATTTGACCGGCATGCAGCCTTCTTTTATTTTTTTAAAGATTTTATTTATTTGACAGAGAAAGAGAGAGAGAAGCAGGCTCCCCATGGAGCAGGGAGCCCAGTGCAGGGCTTGATCCCAGGACCCCGGGATCATGGCTTGAGCCGAAGGCAGGTGCTTAACTGACTGAACCACCCAGGCGCCCCATGCAGCCTTCTTTTAAACTTGAACCTGAATGCCACTTCCTCCACAGATTGGGCCTATTACCGTCTTCACTGCTGCTGGAGCACCCATGCCTGCTTGCAGTGCCTTCTGTGGTCTGTCTGTCCTATTAGAATCTGACTATTCTGAAGTCAGGGACTGTATCTTCCTCAGCGAACAGCCCATACCTAGCTTTGTGCCTGGACCATAGAATAAATATTTGTTGAATGAATGAGCAAATGAAGAAATGGGTGAAGTTGCTCTTTGTTTTTCTTGTTTTATTTTTTTTCCCAGTTATTTAACATTTAGGAGAAACAGCAGGGCTGCTTTTGCCATAAAGTTTTCAGAATAAAATGCAGCTCAGGCTTCAGCCCCGAGATGGCTGATAAGGACTCCACTGATTACTTGGCTGGGAATCCAGACCCAGAGGAAAGAGTCAAGGCTCCTATGCACTTGGAGCTGGAGTGCCCATTCTCAGCTCCTCCTAATTACATTCTAGATAACAGTGTACTTCCCGCATTGATAGCCTTCTGCTTTATGACTTCTTGTCCTGGCTGATGTGACAACATCTGAGATTCTTGCTTTGGAATGGCTGCTTTTCCT